GGCGTCTTGATAATTGAGTTGCATGCTACGCGGACTGCCTGCGAAGGAAGAGGGCAGTATGACGCGACGGCCAACGGCGTGTTGCTGATCCTGCGGAACGTCCTGTACGGCGAGATGGTCCATCAGACCCTGGTAGGATTCGGAGCGCAACTGGTCCTGGTTGTTTCGCAAATAGCTCAACCTGCTCGCCTCGACTCTGACATAATGGTCACACGCATATTGCTGAAACAAAAATCGACTATTATGGATAGCACTGAACCGAGCGTTCGGCTCGTTTAAGCCGTCGTAACGAACGGCCAAACGATAACACGAATACTCTTTCGGTGAAACGTTTTGATTGACACGGGTACGGCGCGGTCCTTCGTGCGGCATGTACGTGGCCCATCCTTGTTCGCCATGCGGAAATAATAGCGGATAGAGCAATGGGTCGGTATGACGGCTGGTGGAAGGTATACGCCGGTAGTTGACGTTGGGGTTCGGATTCCGATCGTACACAACAAAGTCCACGTTTTCCGGAGGATTGCCGTCGTTTCCAACGAACACTGCAGCAATCTCACGCACGGCCGGCTCGTTGCGTCGTCCCGGGTCCCTGGAATCGCGTACAAAATACATACTTATAGTCCGAGGCGGTCTCGCCGGATTTTCCACCGCAGCCGCAAACTGTTCTCTGTTCCATATTTCCGTCATATACATGAACATTCGGGCGTACGGGTTGATCTCTCTCAGCAGGATGTCCAGTCTCTCCAAAAGATCCGGTCTGCACGCGGAGTTGACGGGGTTTCGAATGCGGCTCTGGGTCGCCAACCGCGTGTCCACGAAGTACAATTGACAGAACCGTGGAATGGCGTCCGGTCCGGCGGCCGCGTCACTGATCAGATGATACGTTTGGCCGTGCATGACGAACGTTCTGGGTCCTCGTCTTGGGGGTGCCTGGAAATCTTGTGTGACCAGAGACGCGAACGCCATGGCATTGTTGTACTGACGGACCTCGTTCTGAAAATGCCTATTCTCCGGGCCGTCTTCGCTGAGCAGCCTCCGCAGTGCAAGTGGAACCTCTCGCAACGCTCTGTCACCTGTCAACAAAACTTTACCATCTCCACAACAAATATAATGCTCACCTATGAAATGTCTCGCGCAGCAGTGAGGACAAACGCGATCCATCGGTCCGATGAATGAGCGGGCGGGTGCCGGTGCGGTAACTCGGGCGGCGATCAGTTCTTCGACGACAACGATGTTGGCCATCAAGTCTTCATCATTGTTCTGTTCGTCGACCAAGTCAACGTCGTTCACCGTTACCACTTCCACCTCGATGTCTTCGACCGCTGCTACTGGCGCATCTGGTAACACGGCATTCCTCGGTACCGCGTCACGGCGGAGAAAACGTCGAACGGCTGTAACCGTGAAGTCGTCACGATCGAAATGACTCGAACACAGTTTTGACATCGCGAGTACTTGGTTCCGAACGATTCCGTGGCGCGAGACAAAATCTAACCATTCATTCCGAACCGTCTGGTCCGTCGTCGGGAATTTATGAACGGAAATACCTACGCCGCGGACAGGCCCACATATGACACACGTGGGGGCCATTGTAAAAAAATCTGAAACAAAAAAAGAATTGGACAAAAAAATAACTGACAATTTAAACTGAAAAGTTCTAATTGACAGCACAGCAATACAGCATTCGATTTGTAATGATCAACAAACAAATGACAGCAGAGTAAAAGCAGAAATACATCCAAGTGCTTCGACGTCGATCGAAGCACAAACGGCTACGTTTAACGGGAAAATCCACGTGACCTATGCGACGGGATAGCGTTGTTCGAC